AGTAGGTAATAAGTGTATCTACTGTTACTTACCTGAAAAGAACCATTGGAGAGCAACTCGTCCCTGAAGAAAACACCCTTTGAAAGTGTAACTCTTCAACTATCCTGGAAAGGACTGTTGAAAAGGTACCCGACGCTCGAAAGAAAAACTGCTGATGGAGCTACTCGCCAACTATCCTGAGAAGAACTGTTGGAGAGCAACTCGTCCCAGAAAAAAAACCCACCCATAGAATAACTTTTCAACTATTCTAAAAAGAATTGTTGAAAAGCTACGATTCGATAGGAAGAAAAACTAATAGCGGAATGACTCCGAATATCCTAGTAAAGATATTTTCCTCGTAAAGATACTAGTCAAGATGATTTTAGTCGTAGTGCAACAAAAAACAGATAAATTACTGTATGGCCTGATTTCTTGTTTTATAATTCTTCCGTTGAATGAGAAACTTTTCCGAATTCAATACGATATTGTGTAATTATGATATTGACGTTCCTGTTGATATGAGGAACGTTTTTTCCGTAGGGTTACAGCGTACTTAAGACTAGGCGAGCAGAGCCTTACCTGTCGTATTGGGTTACTGCGAACTTCGGGATTAAACCAGCAGAGCCCTAGCTTTCGTGGGTTTAATGTTATTGCGTTTGAGGTTATGGGGTTACAGCATACTTGCGATTAGCCGAGAAGAGCCCTACCTATCGTGGGTTTGATTTTATTGCGTTTGAAGCAATAAGGTTAATGTGTAATTAAGATTGGAACGAGAATAGAGAGAATAGAGCCTTATTTGTCGTGAGTTTGATGTTATACAGTTTGAGGTTACAGAGCAACAGCAGATCTGGGGTCTAAACAGCAAAGAACTACCTTTCTTAAATTCAAAGATATATATTCCTAGTTAAAGAGATACTACGTACTTAGGTTTTAAAAGCAAGGCCCTTCAAGTGGTGGATTCCTTGCTGACGAGTTGAGAATTTTGAGGTTATAGAATTTTTGATTACTTGTTATAACAGCTCAACCCTATTTGTAGTCATCTATTTCATGAGTCAGGCCTTGTTCTAATCAATGAATTCAAATAATGACCAAAATAATAAATGCTATAATTTTTCTTCCATATAATGGTCACAGGAAAAACTAAAATTTTTCACTTTTCAATTTACCGATATCTCCAAGTAAAAAAGTCCAAATCATAATTATAAATAATAAAATGAAAAGATAAAAATTTCCTTTTTCCAATAGTTTTTCCAGCTTTTGAAAATAATCAGAATAAGCGAATTTATCAGAGCTCGAAATCATGGAAAAACAGTGTTTTTTGGACTTTTAGGTTAGGATATTGCGGAATCCTGACGCGATGAAGCAACTCTGATGCCGATTTTGGGTTCAGCGCACCAAATACCTTCAGGAAAGTAGAGTATGCTTTCTCAATGTGATATGAACCAAAAATTTGTCGACCTGTGTTTTCTATAAAAACTACTTTCTATACAACACTGAAAATACTTCTGAAAAAACTGCTTTATATCTTATAGAGAACACAACACTGTCCTAGGGTAAAATTGATGTTTTCACTAGTAAAATTTTGTAATGACTGATGGAATTGCTTCTGTGGAAAACTGTGTTGCTTTAGTTACACTCAATTCCTCTCAAGTAGAAAACGCTCTTGACGAATAGGATTTGAACTTATCATTTTCAGGAATCATTCTTTTAATAACAGTGGTAGGATCAGCCTCTTATAATTTTTTCTGACAGTTTTCAAAGATAGGTAAAACTCATTATATCAAAGTTCAAATAGAGAACCTATTTGAAATCTCTAAAATACATAGTTGTAACGTATACTGAATCATCAAAAGTTGCGGCTGCAATATTCTGTATAGATTATTATGATAAGAATGGTAATCGTATACCCATTTAACAGCCTTTACGGCTTACCGAAAAAAGGTGCACACTAAAATATGATAATAGATATAGTAGAAGTAGTAGGTTTATCACAATTTACGAAAATATATTGAAATTCTCAAAAATATTTAGATATATATACTTAGATATATAGCCACTGATTGTATACTAGTCAATGGCGATATGAAAAAATTAATGTAGTATATATCTAATGAGAAAAAAGAATTATGTAATATAAAATGTATACTATATTATTTTATAAATTTTCAAAAATATACAAACCCTATTTGCAACTATGATTGTCTCTTTTTCTATAATACCCTGTAAACCTTGTATACTTTTATTATCTGATATAATGTTAAATTATTTCATTTATTACATAATAATAAAGGATAAAGAGTAGAGTTACTGATACTATTGCAGGCTCTTAAAGCGGTCTCGACTAGTCGAGCGGTAGTCCAACTACCACGCTTCTTTCTCCCTCTCACCATCTCACGCTTCTCTCTCTCTCTCTCAACAAGGTCTCCATCGTCTGCTGCATACTATAGACCGCGTCGTCTCCAACTCTGTAATGCTATGTTAGAGTTGTCCTTCCCTATCCAATCCTTACACTAGCTCCTCTAGTCCATAAGGTCCCTATACACTTATTCTACGCTATGCCATTAAACACGTCATGGGCATTATTAATTTTCAGATTAATACCGGGTATCTATTTATCGCTAATTTCCATCATCATATCCTTACGTTGTTGTCACCTTATCCTTACGTCACTAACTATCTCCTCTTCAGTATCTTGATGTCGCATTCCCCACCTCCGTTGTAGCAATCACATCACCTGATAACTCTCACTGTATCCTGGCGTCACCGCCACCTTTCATGCGTACCAATTATATAATGAGCCAACTCCTATCATATCATTACATTATGGGCCAGCTCCCATCGTTAGGTCTCCTGCATAGACTACGAATAGTAAATGAACGGGACGTTCCAATATGTTTGTTAGTGGCTAATTAAGCCTCACGAACATGTGTGTGTGTGTGTGTGTGTGTGTGTTTTTTTTTTTTTTGGGGACATCAAAGGCTGGGTAAAACCTTGAGTGAAACCCCAGGAATGTTGGATCCTGACAGGTACTAACGTTAGTTACGACTTCTGCCAGGACCTCCTCTTCATTATCTTCATGATCTTCTTTCTTCACCCTATTTTGTTGACAAGAGGCCATCTCTTCCCTACGTCTCCCCCACTTCGGAGGAGTTCGAGTCGTCAGATGTACACCTCAGTCTTATCTTCTCTCTTTGTCGTCAGGTCTGTATCGTCCTGTTCTTCGTCCGAATCTGCTCTTCGTGGCGTAGGTCTATGAGAACCTTAGTCGCGAAGGTTGTCATCTTCTTCCATGCTTCTTCTGAAGAAAGCATGATTTCAACCATAGTCTCAGGTGTTAGTCGCTGCCCCAGTGATGACTCTAGGCCATGTCTGTATTCCTCGAACCTGGGACAGGGAAAGAACACGTGTTCTGCATTCTCTTCTTGTCCGCTGCAGGCTAGGCACTCCGGGGAATCCTCGTATTTGTATTTATACAAGTACGCCTGAAAGCACCCGTGGCCTGACAGCATCTGCGTCAAAGAGTAGTTGCTACTACCATGCACTCTGTTTATCTACTTGTCCACTTCGGGAATCAGGCGGTGCGTCCATCTTCCCTTTTCAGCTTTGTCCCAAGTCTTCTGCCATCGTGATAGGCTTAGTTGCCTCTCCCTTATTGTTACTTCATGCGCATCCTCATTTGGTCCTCTTCTCCCTCTCTCGTAGACTCGTCTTCTTTCTTCAGCCAGCTCTTCCAGCGGCAGCATGCCCGTGATGACCTCTGCAGCCTCCTTAGATACCGTTCTGAACGCTGCTGCCACTCTAAGTGCGCTCAGTCTATAGACTGACGTAGCCATTCTCCGAATCTCTGTTGTTTTTAACGCTCCTGCCCAGATGGCAATGCCATATGTCATTATCGATGTTATAACTGACGCCAGGAGCAATCTTCTGTTCTGCTTTGGTCCTCCAGTGTTTGGCATAAGCCTTGACAATGCTGCTCTAACCACTGATGCCTTTATAGCGGCTTGCTTAACTTGCTCATAGAAGTTTAGACGGGTGTCGATCACCACGCCTAGGTACCTTATAGAGGGCAGGGATGTGATTTCGTGTGGTCCCACCTTAAGTGTAATGGTCTCAACTATCTTCCTGCTTGATATTAGTACCGCTTCGGTTTTGTGCTCAGCAAGTTCTTGTCCGATGAAGTCTAGATACTCTTTGTACCTACCATAACTTAATCGAAAGAGGTTTTCCAGTTCATCCAGATATTTGCCGACTATTACCAAGGCTACATCATCAGCAAAAGCTACTGGTGTAACAGCTCTTGGTAGTTGGACTCGCAGCAGTCCATCGTACATGATGTTCCAGAGAAGTGGTCCAAGCACAGAGCCCTGAGGCACCCCCCCAGTAACCTTATATTCTTGCGGTCCCTTTTCTGTATCGTACATTAGGATTCGGTCCTTGAAGTATGATGCCACCATCCTTTGTAGGTACTTTGGTACATTGAACCTTTCTAGTGCTTCCATTATTCTCTTCCATAGTGCTGAATTGAAGGCATTTTTTATATCCAAAGTAAATACCAGGCAGTATTCCTTGTTTCCACCTTTCCACCTTTTTCCAGCTATGGCTTTGCTTGCTGTTTCGACGACCAGATTAATGGCATCAAGGGTTGAGCGGCCCTTACAGAATCCAAACTGTCGTTCCGAGAGTTGTTTGTTTGTCATTTCTTCGATCCTTGCGTATATTATTCGCTCCAAGATTTTGCCGGCTGTGTCAAGCGTACACAGTGGGCGATACGATGAGGGATCATCCGGTAGCTTGTTTCCCTTGGGGAGGAGAACAAGTCTTTGCTTTTTCCATTCTACAGGAAACACGCCTTCGCTTAAGCACTTGTTGTACATCGTGAGGAATAGCTGTGGGTAAGCTTCTATGGCTGCTTTTAAGGCTATGTTTGGGATTCCATCCGGGCCTTCGCGTTACCTATCTTGCTGCATGCTCTTTGCAACTCTCCTAGGGATATTAGTGGAGGCGCATCTATGCTGGTTTGCTCAACTCGGAACTGGTATTCTTCCCTCCGGGGAAAAAGTACTTCCACTATCCTTTGCAGCATAGTAGGGCATGTTGGTGATGGAGTTGCCCGCTTTTTCAGGCGAGCCATGACGGTCTTGTAAGGTCTCCCCCCACGGGTCACCGTCAACCTCTTCCACTAGCTCCGTCCAGCATAGCCTTTTGCTCGACTTGATTGCTTTAACCAGCTCTAATCTTGCTCTACTGTGTTCTTCTTTTAACTCCTCGATGTTCGGTCTCTTCTTCTTTCTTCCTCTTGTTTCGGCTCTTCTTGCTTGGATGCAATCCTTCCGTAGGGCTGCAATGTCATTATTCCACCAATAGGCAGCAGCTTTTTTGTTGTTTTTGCCACCTTTGCGTGGCATGGTTACATCACACGCATCTGTAACTCTACTCATTACCTCTTCTACCATCGGTAATACGCTTTCTAAGCGTGTGGGTGTACCGTCGAGTGCTTTGATAAAGCTCTCTGTTTCGAAGACGCTGATCTTCCATCCACGGTGGCACTGATTTCGACTGATTTGACTTAGCTGACGCTTGGTCGATACTGTCCATGTGATGAGTTTGTGGTCACTTAATGTGTACTCATCAGTCACCTTCCAATCATTGCCGTTTGACACCAGCCTACTGCTAACAAAGGTTAGGTCAATGATCGAGAATTTACCATTTTTCGAACGTTGGCTCATCTCCCACATTTATCAATATCACATCGAGTAAGGACATTGCCTCAACCAGTATGTGGCCTCGTCCGTTGTTTCTCTTGCTGCCCCAGTCCGTTGCCCAGGCATAAAAGTCACCAGCAATAGCCGCAGGAACATGTTCCTCAACATCTCTTGTCAATGCATTTATGAAGCTAGTGAAGTCTTCACTCTCCCAGGTTGGGGGTGGCGGAACATAGCAACTGTAAAAGTAGACACCACCGATCTTTGGGCGAACAAACCCTTTTTTCATTGTATCTGCTGCTTCTTGAAAAGGAAGCTTTCCACACGACCAAATAGCCGCCTTTGTTGAGCTATCTGTTGCCCATGTCGGGAGATCAAGCTGTTTGTACGGCTCTGAAATGATGGCCACATCTGCTTGCTGCTCTCTAAATGACTGCTCCAGCATGCTCTGTGCATCTGCACAGTGATTCAAGTTGATTTGCACCACCTTCATTTTCTTCTTTGGTTTTGTTTTCGGAGTTCCTCCCTCCGTACTCTACAGGTAACGCTACCTGCGACGTGGTCGCAATCCTGTTGCGGGTCTGCCTCTGCACAGAGTATGCAGTGAGCATCTTCTGTGCACTAGGCTATTTTGTGCTCGTTTTTACCACATTTCAGACAGCAGCCCGAGCGGTTCATGTCACTTTTACATTGTGTCGCGATATGGCCCAGATGCCAACACTTAAAGCATTTAGTCGGTTTGTTTACAACTCTAATAGGGCAGCTGATGGGCCCTATTAGTACCTTGGCTCTACCGATCGTGAGCTTATCGGCGAGCAGGGCAGGTAGTCTAACCAATGCCACCTGCATGCCGCCGTAGTAGTCACGCAGTCTTTCGATCGAGTCTACTCTGATGTTCCACTCTGGGCCTGCCACTTTCTTCAGTGCCTGTGCTACCTCCTCCTTGGAGGTCCCTTCCATTATTTCCTTAATTTCCAGGTCAACCTCCTGTACTTTGCTAAATACCTCGGCTTCTCCTTCCAACTTTTCCATCACTTGCTTTCGGAGCTCTTCCATTCTGCTCGCATTTCTGTTCTTCAGGACGAGGTGCATGTCCTTCTTTTTGGTTCTCCTGATTTGCTTAAGCTCACTGCCCACTTCTTCGTTATCGCCGCCAGTAAACAGTGGCTCCACTTTCTTAAACAAATCCGCAAATGACTTGTCTTTGGCTCGAATCAGGAGAGCGTTTGGAAGATTTTGGGGACCTCGTTTGGTCGGAGAGTGTCTCCTAGTTACCTTCTTCTTTTTTTCCTTTTCTTTCTTTTTCTTCCTCACAGTTTCCCAGCCCTGATCCTGACCTCGTCCGCTGCTGTTCTCCTTGGCTTTATCCATTTGTTGTTCGGGGTCATGCGCCCGTCCAGCCCGTGCTTCTGTACTAGCTTCCTTCGTTTCAGGCGGTGCTCTTACGGCCTGGTTTTTCCTTTTAGCAGCCCTGTTGCCTTCCGCGAGGGGCGGTGAGTTCGCCTTTCGCTTCGGCGTTCCATTGAGGGAGGACGGTCCGAGTTTTCCTGCCGGTGTCTGGAACAGCTCCCTTCTAGTAGGGGTTGGATTTATATCTTCCTCCTGCTCTTTCAGCATCTCCTTCTTCACGCTCTTGAAGGCGTTCTTCACTTTCCGAGCACGTTCGCGTGTAGTATTATTCACCGTTCTCTGCTGCTTGTCCTCCAGCATTTGCAGGAGGTCAGCTATAGCATCCTCGAGAAAGTTGAGTTTTTCTCCTAGGTCACTTGTAGCTTTGGATGCCACAGGGGCCAGGTGACCAACACCTGCAGCACTGCGGTCATGTGATGACGACGCCGGGGAGCCCGCTTGCTCACTCCTCACTTGCGCCGGTACTAGGGTATCCCTCCCTTGCACCGTAAACGATTTACTTTGTGTTGTACTCGCCATAATTGGTTTATATTCGGAGCTCCTACTCCTAGTCCGTGACAGGGTTTGTGTTTGGTCCGCGAAAGGTATTTTATTTCCCTCAGACCCTCCCGCTATTGGCGAACCAATAGTAAGCGAGCCTCCCTATCCGCCACCTGGGACGCGCCACGTCGGGGTTCACCTCCCCGTCCACTTAGGCTACTAGATAGATCCGTGGTAGCGTTCGTCACCTTCAACGTCTTCGCGGTCATCTTGGAAACGCTTATACCGCTCGTAAACACTTGTTTTTTTCATAGCAATCTCACCATTGGCTTTTTGTAACATTTCACACACTTTGTTACTCTTTATTTCATTTTTTACGCAAAATTTAATACAAATTCTTTGACCCATTTCTTTTAAAAAACGAAAATCGCCGAGCTCATAAAAACACGTCAAACCTTAGCGACTACCGCAGACAAAGTAAACAGTGAATATAGCTGAAAATTTTATCATACTTCAGGGGCATGTATACCAACACAATAAAAAAAAATTTTGACAATCGGACTCTCCAGACCCGCGAAATTTAAAAATTCCTGGTATTTTTTGAACACACCTTGTACTATACTTAAATGATTTGCCTAGTTTCCGTCAGGTATTTTGATATGCGGTATAAATGTGGTTGGTCTTTTAAGTCGTTTAGTAGCTTTCCATAAAAAGTAGTCTGTTGCTTCTGTTAGACTCAGTATTCTCAGATAGTTTTGCGTTTGTATATTTTTTTCTTCATATAACAATTTCTTTAGATCTTTAGGTGCTTTATTTACTCTTGTTTTATCTTGGCTTGATCTGGTTATCTGATATCTTTTTCTTAACAATCTTTTTTCTTTTATTTTTTGAGCTATTTTTTGGACGTGTTTTGTTGTGTTTTATTTTTATTTATTTCTGTAGAGTATTTATTTATTGATTGAGTTAGTAGCAGGTTGAGTGAATTTATGCTGTCTTCAATATTTGTGGCTGTTTTAAGAGGAACGTTACACGTTATGCGTTCCTCTATATAGGAGGCATTTTTTTTCCAATCAACGTTAGTTTGTTTGTATACATTTTTAAATACTTGTTGGTGTAATGTAATCATCACCGGCGAGTAATCTGATAACAAGTGTAAGCATGATGGCACTTCAAAATAATTCTTGTTTATACTATATAGCAAAATCAATTAAATTCGGGAGCTTGTTTATGTCTGTAGGCCAGTATGTTGGTTCTCCAGTTGATATCGGGATGAAATTATTTTTTTGTACTATTTTATAGAGTACTTTGTCTCTATATATTGGAGTTGATGATCTAGATCCCCACCACGGATGCTTCGCATTGTAATCGCCACCTGCTATAAAGCAATTTCCTAAAGTTTTGAAAAAGTCTGTCCAGTTTTCTGTAGTAATTGTTTTATTTGGAGGACAGTAAACAGGTGATATTGTTATCGGTCCGCTTTTATTCGTAATATTTACACTGGTTGCTTGTAGGTTAATTGCGCTAATGTGTGAGTGGATGTAGTGATTTATTTTTGTTTTGATTATGATCGCAGTACCTTCGTGTGCTTTATTAACCGGATGATTTGTTTTGTGTACAGTATAGTTTAGTATGTTAAGATAGTTCTTAATTGTAAAATGCGTTTCTGAAATCAACATGATGTCTATGTTTTCGTAGATTAGAAATGTTTTTAATTCCAGGTGCCTCTGCAAAAATCCGTTTGCGTTCCAGATAGCGAGTTTGAGACTGTTCATTGTGCTATTTTAACTAGTACAGTTAAAAGATTTAACATAGTGTCCGTTCTTTAAATCAGCTGCTCTATCATATGTTTGAGTTTGTTTGTGTTATTGTATTCATTTGAGTGTATATTTTGCTCTACCTGTGAATTTAAATCTTTTAATTCTGCTGTTGTTATGTTTTGATTGTTCTATTTTGATGTCACTTGGGCATATGTTATATTTGGTCTGATACTGTTGGCATTTATATTTGAATTAGTCTTAGTGTTTGTGTTTGGTTGCTCTTATTTACTGTTTTGAATGTAACTTTTTTCTTAGTCTGGGAAATAATTTTTGTTGCAGTTGTATGCGAATTCGACATCCTTTATAGCTGGCAGTGTGGTTTCCTTGGCAATTCGCATATCTTACTTCTTTAATTTTTTCTTTGATAGTACATTTTTCTATTACGTGCTGCTTTGCACATTTCACACATATTGCACTCTTGAAGTAATAATTTTTTAAAGAAGATATAGATAATGATACTTTGATTTAGCAGCTCAAATTATTTTACGATGAACATTTTAATGAAAAGAATAGACAATATAAGTCTCAAAAATGTTCATAATTAAATAAAAATTTATGATAAATTCTATAGAAATATTCTATAAAGTAATTATATTCCACTTTAATGGAGTTAACCCTTTGCGGCTCAGTGGGAATACGTATTCCCACCTTTTTTCATAGCATTTTTTGCAAATTTAGAATAGTTTTTAATGAATTTACCCTGAGTTTTTTGTTGTTTTACGATTATAGGATGATATACAATTGAAATTTACGTCAATTGATGCTACAACTTTTATTAATTTGTTAATATTGTTAAACAAAGACGAAAAAACAGCCCTATTTATAAACAAAATTCATTATTGAAGAAACTTTCAGTTATAATTTCACAAAAATTTATACAAAGGAGTTTTTGGGATCGCTAATCACGATTCTAAACTCAGAATTTTGAAATTTAAAATGGCGGATCCAAGATCAGATTGATTTTTTTTTCTATTTTTGTTTTTTTTTGTTTTTTTTTCACTTTTATATTTTTATCTTCTCACCTTCAATTTTTTAATTATCTTAGCTTTCTAATTCATTTCAATCTTTCATGAATGATACTTCAAAAAGCAATTTCTGTCTACTTGTAAACATAATGGTACGTTGCACGTACTACATGACTATTTAGTTCACACATCTTTTGTTTTTGTACTGCAGTGAGCGCATCTCCTATAATTATCAATGGCTGTTGGCATATGAGCAGATAGAGAGCGTCTTTTTTCAACAGAAACTTGTGGTTTGTGAAGATTGGTTTGTGTAGGTTGTCGCTTTCTTCCTTTTTTAGTTGGAATTTTGTGAGAAACCAATCGATCCACTAAAAGTAGTCTGAACTTCTTCAATGTTATAGGATTATCAGCGTTTATTTTTGAAAATATGATGAATGAATTTGTAATAGTTAGATCAATGAAATGCCAGAATAATCTGATCCACCACTTTTTGGACTTTCGATCTATTTTATATGTAGATAACAAACGATCAGCGTTATCGACAAATCCCATGTATTTGTTGTAATCAGAGCACATAACTGGACAATCTACCTGCACTCGTGCCATCTTTCTATGTTCGATTTACTGTTGTCATTTCGGATGGATCATGGTAATTTGACAGGAAACAAACACCTTTCTTATCCATCCATTTTATCCAAGTAATACCATATCAGACGTTCGAAAATCGTATTGTCCATGTTTCATTTGTTTGTCAAGCATTACAGAGTTAGGTAACCCAGTACGATTGGAACGTACAGTTCCGCAAGCAAATATTTTGTCTT